CGCACATACTTCTGAGCTCCGATCTGAATATTTTACCTAAACTTAAACTCAGATTCTTACTTTATTAAGGTCGAAGAGAAAGACTTATTTGAAACAAAGCTTTCAGGGGCTCTAACCTACATAACCGCTGCTTAATATGGATTTATCAGCCTGCACTATTTCACCATCCAGGCAGCTTAAAGAATATTAACGAGCCCACTGTGCACTAATGTTGGCCCAGTCCCTCTTCAAACATACAATATTGACACAGCTAATGCAAAGGATGGCCTGTTTAGTCCACAGTAAGTGTTATTCTATGCAAATGAACCGAGCACTTGTTTGACTTAAAAGGTAAACTCACTATATTAGCATGAATTTCCTTAAAAGCTACTTAAACAGAGGAGAAATTATAGGGTCAAATTAAAAAAAAAAAGCTGCATTACCCACCGCTAAACCACCACTGCTCCTGTTCTCTATATCATGTGTATTCGTTATGACTGAAAGAATATCTTAAGACACGACACAAAACTGCAACAAACTGTCTCGGTTGGTTAAGATTATTCTTTATTATGAAGTGCCACAAAATGCTTTGTGTTCATTGTGCTTACATTGTCTGAATACTGGCTCAAAAAAACCCAGGAGATCCTCACTCTGCAACAGAGATCCAAACCTCCTGAGGTAAGGTGTGTCAGATATCGCTATACAGCAGTAAAAATGTCTCAATCCAAAGGATTCTTTACAAACCCTCTTGCAATAAATGATTATTTAGGTTATCATCATTCTTTAACTTGGAAATACAAAAAAGAAGAGAGGTCAAGCTAGTACAAGGTTTTTTTTTTTAATTCTTCTCTACCTGAATTCTAGTTAGTTTCATTGTGCTACTTTCTTTAAGGTGGAGATGACTAGAATGGAAGTGCTTAAAGAGACCAGACCCGGAGCTCGAACCAAGAGGCAGACTCAGACAAACAGACCCACAGCGGATCACGTCCGGCCTTAAAACCACCAAACAGACCAGAAACAGCTTCAGCCAAACACGCTTAAGATCTTTAAACTGCAGTGCAAAGTTGCGACCAGAGTTTTAGTACACGTTGATACAATTTGCGATAAGTAAACAACAATTAGAGAGAGCAGTTCGCTCAGCAACAGCAGACACGTCGGCTGTTGTCCTGATTATTACACATATTTCTACGAGGGACCGATGTCTCAGAGATGCATTAAGAAATCTTCACCCTACGGGTTTAATTTAACCTACTTTGTTGTGAGGATTTTTTGGCGGAGGGTTAAAAACACAAAGACAAAAATGACTAATCATCTGATACAATTCAAGTAATTGCAGCTCGACTCCAGTTCAGACATCAAGGACAAAGATAAGACCTTCAATCTGCTGACTCACACACTGTCACAACACACACACGCACAAAAAAATTGCTTCCTTCTTATTGACTCGCGAGCTACAATTTTCTCAGAAAAGCTCCTTTAGAAAAGATTCTATCGTCTCATTGTGCAGCAAAATTGTCAAACTTTTTTTTTGTACCCCCTCAGATGTGACCGCCTTTGACGCCGCACAGCTCCTATCTCTTGGATGTAAATTACGTCAGGTAATGGGTCCACATCACCGCGCCGTCCTTTTGTCCCTATAACCCTAAACGGTGTTAAATATCAGTCAACTCCATCTCTAATTGAGTAATCTCATGCCTGAGGAAGCACTGCAATTATCAAAACTTCCTTCACATCTGAATATTAAACCCGTTTCCTTTCAAAAGGTTTTTTTTTTTTTTTTTCTTCCAGGCCCAAAACGGCTCATCGGCAGGCACTGTGTGCTCGCATGTGCGGGCATGCAACCCATGCACGTGTGCACATACTGCGTGAATGTTTATATACAAGGTTAGGACGTGGACGTACTGTATCGGATGGCGGATGAACATAAACAAGCACTTCTTTGTGTGCAGATCTGCGTGTCGTCAGTCTGTCTCCTGGGAAGCTCCATGAGTCTGTAGAAAAGGTTTCTGAGCTGCAGAGAACTGGGTTCAGCAACACTGGTATTGACCACCTAGATTAACGGTTAAATTATCTACGGGGTCAGGGTTGATTCGAGTTTGCCTGTCTGTAGGTAAATCTCTCGTAGAGTAAAGCCTGTGGTCGGCCCAGTGGGGGTGAGCGGGGCCTGCTGCAGGATAATCAGCACCGGAACAGTTAAGCTGCAGTCGCACCATCGAGCTAAAGTGCATGCTGTTTCTGTGTGGTTTAAGAATGCACGCTTTATGGTTTTGAAGTGCACTGGAAGGGGAGCTGAATAATGGATTGCAGTTGAAGTTGACCTCAGTCCAACTTCAACAACCCACCAAACTTTGTGTTGCTTTACTATTGAAAGTGGAGTTGCTAAATACAACCTGGTGCACATCTTTTGCAGAAATTCTCCAAATCTGTTTGCTGTTTTAACCTTGTTTATGTTGGGACAAAGATAAGATAGCTTTCTTAGGGTTGTCAGAAGGTTGTTATTAGGTGGCTTTACACTGCAGGAACTTGGAGCAGGTGTATAGGTTTCCAGTAATACTTGACGTAACTCTACTTGGGTGGATTTTGCATTGTTGAAGGCGATGTTGGAGAGGAGAAGATTTGGCAAGAACATCAGGAGGACAAAAAATTGTTGCGTGTTGTTGTTTTTAGAAATATCTAACGTAGAATAGGTATTTTTTCACTCGACTGCCCTTGGAGAGGTACTACGGGGTTTGTTTTTTTTCCTTGGATCACACAAATTGGTGGCACCATCGTTCGCAGCAAATAGCCCCCTAATTGGCCCTTTTAGGCTTTTTGTTTCCATTGTGGACAGCTTTGAAGGCAACATGAACTCTGAGTGCATCAAAACAGATGGTAGTGATTGGACATGACTTCCGTTCTATGAGCATGTAGGAAGTGAACCAACGGAGGATTTGTTTTATTAGATTCAATTTTTACGTTGTAGATGTTAGACAGAAGATGATGTGTAATTAATGAGAAAATCAAAAGGGTTGAAAAAAATGGTGCACAATATTCTGTTCAACCCCTGAAAACAACCCCAAAAGAGACTTTATGAGGTTCTGGTTCTTGAAGTGGGATCATGCTGTTTATAGCAGCCGTCCTTTCAAGCTTTCTGCTTCCATTCTGGTACAGGTTTCAACAACTTGGGCCTCTATGTTGACCCCAAGTGCACTGAACAAATAGTAGTTACTGGACGTAACTCCGGTTCTATGTGCACATAGGAAACAGAGCAATGGATGGTTTGGTGTGTTAGTTTGTATGGCTAATTTTAAAATGTTGTTGAAGTGGAAAAATCTTATTTAGGACATTGAGAGGGCAGAAAAATGGTATATGTCGTGTTGACTTTAACCAATTAGCATCACGACCTATACAACACTTAGAGGTACCAACCCTGCTGTAGGGTCGTTTTTCTCCAACAAAAATGGTCAAGAAATTGGTTCTACGGGTCTCGTTCTTACAGTCAAACCATGCTCAAAGCTCTAAACCGCCCTAAAACAGCTCACAAGTTCCTGCAGTGGAAAACAGCCTGTTGTCACATTACGACTCAAGGTATACGTACCGTTTAACGTCTCACAACCTTCAAAGAACCACAGATTTCGGGTGAATTATCCAATGATCCAATCTGGGTAATCCAAAGCGAAGCCTCTCCTGGTTGTTGTTAGCAGCTTTCAGTCTGTCAGGCTCGTACAGTGTTTATCCTACAACAGGCCTCACACCCAGCAGGCAGCTGATCCCAGCCTCTCTAGCCTACATCCTACTTTAGTTCTACTCACTAAGAGGCAGGCAGTGCATAACAAGAGAGGAAAGACAGGACTTTTCTTTTTGTTACTCTAACACTACATTGGCATGTTCCCTGATGTCTGTAATATTAGTATTCTTCTGTTTATGACTATAGGTGAAGTAAAACATACCTGATTTTTAAACTGCTATACAGTAGTAGGTAATACTTCATAACTTCATCATAAAATACCATGCATTAGGTGATTATTGCTTTTTAAAGAGTCCTATGGAGGCTCCAAGAGAAAAATATTGCCCTCGGGTTCTATCTATAGGATTTTGGCAAAAAATCATAAGCTTTTTATGATGTTGGCATAGGTTTTTCGTTATTTTTTTTTCTTTCTTTTTTTTTTTGCATGCAATAATAAGAAAAAAGGTAAACAACATAATAGGAAAAGAAAAAAAAATAGTACTCAAAAAAAGTGACATATGCTTTGGCCTGTAGTGGTAAAAAGAGGTTGGCAAATATCCTACATACATATACAGAAATTAAAGTGCAACAAATAAACCGTTTGTCGTTATCAAACCAAGTAGAAACATACAATAAATAAATACATTAAAAAAAAACTGAGACAAAAAAACAATGCTTAAATAAATAAATAAATAAATAAATAAATAGTATTTTTACCTCAGTAGTGGAGAGAATATGGTCACTTGGTGCAGCAGAGCATTATTATTATCATTATTATTACTATTATTATTACTATTATTCCCCCGGAGAAAAAAAAAAACAAGAAACAAAAAACAAAATCAGAATGAAAAAACTCTTTCACTGCGCTTCAGTGCAGGAAGGAAACTAGTAGCTAGAGGCTCGCTATTGTCTTTATCAACATCCTCGTCATCACTGTCCCAAAATACGCCGAGTCGAACTGTATCTAGATGCCAGGAGGAAGCCATGTTAGTATCAGTGTCTCTGTCACCGGACTGACAGAGGAAGAGGAGGTGAGGAGTCTGTTTTGTTTTTTTTTTTTTGAGGAAGTGCATGCGTCGATTCAGTTAAATCCTTAAGTGGGCAAATCTCAAGGAGAAAAAATTGTGCTATCTTCATCATAATCATCATCAGGAGTAGGCTCCAAGGGAGGCGAGGTGGGAGGAAGGGGGGAAGGGGGGGTGAGGAAGGAAAGCGAGGTCGTTTTCTGACCCAAAAAAATATACTGTTTGTGTCTGCAGTTGAGTCTTTAAGGGTAATTCACGTCTGCAGTCCTGTTTCCGTCTATGCAGCGGGGTCATGCATCTAGAGGGCCGAGGGGGGAGAAGGGGCCTTTGAAGCAGGCGGACTCGTAGTGCTTGTTCAGGTAACTCTTGAGCGCGAAGGTCTTGTTGCAGCGTTTGCACTTGAAGTGCTTGAAGGCCGAGTGGGTCTGCATGTGAGCGCGCAGGTTCGAGCGGTCGGCGAAGGCCTTCCCGCAGTGGGCGCAACCGAACGGCTTCTCGCCCGTGTGCGAGCGCATGTGGCCCTGTAAAAGCCAGGGCCGGCTGAACGCCTTCCCGCACACGTCGCACTTGTGCTTGAGGTCGTGCGTGAGCAGGTGCATGGCCATGGCGGGCATGGACACGTACACCTTCCCGCAGGTCGGGCACTTCTTGGCCAGCTTGCTGTCCAGCGAGCGGTGTGTCTGTTTGTGCCGGCTCAGGTTGGAAGACGTGGCGTAGGTTTTGCCGCATTCGTTGCAGGTGTGCCTCTGGATGGTCCGCGGGCTGCCCAGAGCTTTCCTCCTCGAGCGGCCGTCGGTGATGAAGAAGGCGTCGACCGTGTAGCCCTCGCTCACGGCGGCGTCTCCGTTGATGTAGCCGTCGGTGATTTCCGAGCCGGGGCTGTCGGGGGACTCCGAATCGGGAGCCCCATAGTCGCTGTGGATGCCATCGTAGAGGGGATCCGGAGATGGAACCTTGATGCCGCTGTCGCTCTCACCATCGTACACAACGGGGCTGATGTAGTCGCTGATGTAACCAGCTGGAACGGAAAGAGAACGGTATCAGGTTATACAAGTGGAAGTGGACCAAAAGGATGCAGCTCTGACATAACTTAGCAGAGAGGAATGATGCAGATTTGCTATAACAGAACTATATTTGGAGGAAAACAGGATTTTAGTGGCAACAACAGTCCCCAAGCAGATCATATAACTAATATGGCATTCATTACTGCACGTCTGTTCAACCTTTTAAACCCCAAAATGTGCAGCTTCTTTTGAAATATCACCAAAATGACACCATATTTTGTTTTGTTCTTTGAGTTGTTTGTCTGCTCTCTGGGATTTTTGACCTTTTGTATTTTTTATTATTTTTGTATCAACTAGTTAAATCTCTGAAGGCCACCGGCAGGTTTAAAAGGCCTTTTATCGTTCTAAACAAAATACCAAAATGACACCATTTACCAGTAAAAACAGTGGAAATGATCAAATGTTCAACTTTCGAGAAATTTGAGAACGAATCACCTGCGGCATGCGGTTTGGTCGGGAAAGTTAACTAAATGCAAGCTTCAAATTTTGACATTTAATCAAAATCACTTCATTCTACACATCTCGTTTTAATAATTATAACATATAAACCAAGTCTGCGCTCCTCAGTACTACTGAGAATCCACGATTGAGTCACAGTCACATGACAAAAAGACTTTTCGATTGAACTGCAGGACGTGTACACAGAGCAGAATGGAGACGAGTGTGGAAACAAATTAGAGAGACAAATAAAATCCATTTGATCAATAAAATAAATGCAGCACGGCTCAGAAACAGCACAGAGAGGAGCAAGTTGTGGGAGATACATTCAGCATTTCCAGAGTTGATGTGCAGAGCAGAGAGGAAAATTGTAAGTTTGTGGAAGCTATAAAATATAAATAGTAGAATAAATATATTATGTAAAGCCAGATTTTTTTTCCAGTATTGGTAACACCTGTGAGCACAAAATGTTGCACATGTTGATTCCAGCTTTTTTCCATTTTTTTATTATATTTTCTTTCTTTTTTGTTCTGTATGGCATCAAAACCTTGTCATCCAGCACAGGAGACAGTTCTCTCTACTTGTAGGCACACTTGTACTGTTTCCATAAAGGTGCAGGACTTTATGTTGCAGTAAAACGAAAAAGAGCCCACAGTGAGTAAAAATGTGACGAGGAAGACGTCGAGTTGAGTGGGAGAAATCAGTGAGAACCACATTAAACACCATTAGACTGCTGCTGCAGCCGCTGAGAACATGAGAACCAGAGTTTTCTGCAGCTTATCTTTTCTTAACAGACGCACTAATGACAGAGATTCAGTGCTCTGACCGGCATCACACCGACTGAACCGGCGCAATTAAATAAGCACTTACTCCGGCGTGCAAACAGCTACATACATAACGACCTTTGTGATAAACAGCCGGCCTGCGCTGTCCCTGCCTCTGCATTCATATTTCTATATATAATACATACATAGGGATAATTGGTGAGCATGAATATTCCAAACAGCCCCTTTACTCATCCAGTTCCTAACATGGTGCTGTTTTGTTTCATGCAGAAACGCCGTTAAGCCGTTGAGTGCGACGGACGGACACAAGCGGTGACAGGAGACGCTGTTGTATGTGTTTGCATTAGTTTATTCGTGAAGGAGCATAAATGCAAACATGACGACAAAGTGGGTGAAACATAAACCTCTGGCAAGATCTAGAAATGCACATGTAGTTCCCAGGCAGGGAAACCACAAGGTTGTGTGTGTTTTGATCATAAATTACTAAAAAATCATTGTTTTTTTTTTAAGTTTAGCTGCTTTTATGGATTTTATTTGATTTGCATAAGCTTCATTTTCAATTTTTCATAATTCAAGGGGACACATGATGAGATTTTGAGATTTTTTTTTACTCTCAAACACTTATTTTCTTGCATTTTGGGGAATCTTCATGCACTGACTTGTTCTGGAAATGTAACAAGTCAAACGTAAAATTCAAACTATAATTGAACATGTATCGGCGGTTTCTGGTTCCTTCCCACTGTGGCTAAGCGCTAGCTCAATGGCAGTCCAAAGGGAACTTGGGAACTATTGGGTTTTCCTTTTTACAATCTGTAAGGTTTTCCCATTACTATGTGAAATGCTGTAAGGTGACATGTTGTGAATTGGCGCCACATAAATTTAATCCAATTGAATGTATGAATCTAATTATGTTTTCTATAATAGATTTGGTGGTTCTATGAGGTTATAATTCATATTTTGAGAGTGAAAAGAGCTTCATGCTGAGGAAAAAACACCTATCTGAGGCATTGTTGCATCCTTTAGTAGCATTATAGCGTCCAAAGTCTTGTATTTGTTTTTTCTACATATTAAAGGAGACCAACCTCCTGCACCGCCCATGAAATCTCCACCTACGCTGGTACTAACTTTAATAAGCTCCTTGTCAGGTGTGAAAGCTCCTGACAGCTGCTGCCCTTCAGTATCTGTCCTGCAACTTTCTCTGTATTAACCCTGCATCTGTGGATTTAACTCCGCACCAGCAACACGGCAGCGAACATGTGAATTAGCATCACGTTATATGACAGTGTCTGCCCCGTGATGGGGCATGTAAGGAAAACCAACAGCCTGCAGTGTTATTCAGCACTATGTTCCCTCCTCTCAGCCCTCTAAGGTTGCAGTTAAGACACTTCTCCTGTGAAAGATAAATGCACACAGGCTGACCCTGAACTTGAGAAAGCTGATTTAGCGTGTGAAAATGAGCATCAGCACCGCGGACGGATCCAGTGCACTGCAGGCCGATGGCACAGTGACAGCAGGCCGGCCGGCGCTGCAGCCTCGCTCAGTGCACCGTGGTGAGGCTGTTTTTTTACAAAGCAGAGGGTTGATGACTTGCAGGATGAGCAAAATATAGTTGGAGAGGTTGGTTGATTAACTACTTGGTCTATAAAATGTCAATAAAAGAGGAAAAGTGTTTCACAAAACCCAAGATGATGCCTTCATGAATCAACAAAACGAAGAGATTCAGTCACAGAGGAGTGAAGAAAACAACAAATATAGAGAAAACAGCTACAATCAGAGAATTTAAACTCCTTCTCTGAAAAAGAAAATGAGCCAAGCTGATTAGTCAGGATTAATGTGTCAACTAGTTCCTGGATTAATCGATTAGTCGTTTAGGTTTATAAAGTGTCCCAAGATGGCGATGTCTTGTTTTGTCCTCAAAGATGTTCAGTTTGCCATCATAGAGGAGGAAATAAACCAGGAAATATTGACATTTAAGAAGCTGCAATCAGTCAGTTTACTTTAAAAAATGACCGATTAATCGATTATCAAAACAGCTGCAGGTTCATTTAGGAACTGACAACTGTTGCAGCTTTAATAGAGACACTGAAACCAGTTGGATTATACTGTGATTACCTCTGGATACCTGCATATTTGGAGAAAAAAAATAGAATTCTTTTTAATTTTATATGTATTTGAAAACGTGTTTACAGACATGACTACGCATAGGAATGCATAATGAAGAGCATGTTTTTAGATTCAGTTTACAGTCAGTTTAAACACACGTTTCTTAATTTTCTTTTTTATTTATGGATTTACAAATGTGTCGGTTTGCACCAAACAGTGTTGCTGACTTCCTGTATTCAGCTCTGTCCATAGTGTGAGAGTTAAGCTTCGGTTTATTGCACAAAACTAGTCGGTTTAATTCCTGTTTAACTGCCCCTGACGACAGAGTCCACGTGTCCTTTTTGTGCATATTTCAAATATAATATTTCAGCGTTTTATATTTATTTTTATCCCTATGGTTTAGTAATTGACCTTGCAAGTTCTTCGTCTTGTTTTCGAGAATTTTAAATTTGTTTTTGCACATTTTATTGTTGCTTCTGTCAACTTTAAAATGTGCTCAAATAATAAGCTTTATGTGATTTGATCTGATTTCTGCCTCTCATTTAACTTCAGAAGTCACATCTGCATTGCATCTACTGAAACTATCCACAGATACAGACTGAAATTAACACAAAATGGCCTTTTTTTCTGGATACGTTTTGGATAAAATCTTGTGATTAATTGGATTTTTGTCACAAATTCTGTCTCCGAAGTGTGATTCCTCATAAACACCATCCCAATGAGCGACGTAATGTGCTTTAGACGTGATTTCTTCAGGGGAAAATACTGTTTAATAATTTCCTCCTTGTTCAATTTAAAATGATTCCTCCAGTGTCTGAGGAATATGAATGAGATGCAACAAGCTGCATGTGACACACACACACACACACACGCATCTCCGTCTACATACGATTAACAGCCGCTTCACATGTCCCTCCTGAATCCACGCAGTCCCACCGCACACCGCGGACGAGACATAAATTATTCCAAAAGCCGGCTCCTTCGTGCAGAAAGTTGCTGTTGTGGTGCTGGATGGATGTGGGAGCCGCATTAAGCTGTTAACATCAAATGTTAGAGACGGAGACAAAAGGTGGCCGGGACAGGCTGCGATGCTCGCTGCTGCTGAGGCGGCAGATCGCGTGTCAAACCTTGCAGGGCTTGTTAACCTCGACATTATAAATACACCACTGACAGCTTCTGTTTTTTTCTGCTTTACGTGCAGAGAATCGCAGGCGGAGGAGGGGGATACACATGTTGGTGTGCAGCAAACCTGACAATGATGCCGGGGTGGAGGCAGGAGGCTTCATCTACATGGTAAAGGCTGTTTTTTTATTTTCCTCTCTCTCTCTCCCCCTCCTTTAAAATGTGACGCACACAGTTACAGGTTGTGGGGAAAAATTCACAGCTTTTGGAGGAGCTCAGGGCCGACACAAAAATAATGACTCATTCTGTCGTTTGAGGAGAGCTGGAAGGGGCCAGGCTTCATTATGCCTCAAGAGGCGACTAAAAATACTATTACAAAAAATATTCAACAGTTACACCATCACAAACAATCAACTCCTGAGGTTCTGCAGAATCTGTTACTCCTGTTCATGAACAAGTGCTGTGATCCTGATTTAAGGTTTGTTGGGAGGAGAAAATCTTGAAGTCTTGGCGAGGAATCATTGTGCAGAAATCTGCAAACACTGCAAAAATGAAACACCTGGACGTGCAGCTCAGGAAAAAAAAGAAAAAAAAAAACCCATGCAGAGTGTTGAGCTGAGGCCAATTTTCTATGAAATGAAGCAAAAACAAAAACAGTTTCCGTATCGCAGCGTTGTTACATAAAAGAAGTTTATTTGTGCCGCACCTGCAGGCGGCGGGTGGATGGATTCATCAGCACAATCCCGTGTGCAGCTTTCACACAATTATCAGAGATCAAAGATGATTCTGTGCAACCTTCAGGACACCGAGGAGCTCCTTCAAACATCACACACTGCAGGAGCAGGAGAGGCCAAATCCACCAAAAACCAAGGGAACTCTTTCAACCTGACTTTAAGGGAGAGGACCAGAGCAGGATGGAAACACGGAACACACTTGATGTAGTTGATTTAACAAGTGACCTTTCTGCTTCAACTCCTGCAAAACCTGATTCAGCTTCACAGTAAATAAAGTCTCAGATGATGAGGAGGATTTAGTGATCATCCTCTGCTCCTCTGAGCTCCTGCAGTCCTCTAAAGTGCATGTAGCTGCCATACTTTTAGATGTGTTTCAATGCACTGATGAGTTTTTGTGCCCCCTCAGTAGGGCAGCCTGACTGTGGCTGTCTGATCAATGCTGCTGCTGCTGCTGCACCCTCACCGCCCCACAGGTCGCCTGGAACAACTTTCAGATGGAAACACAACCAGAAAGCCTGATTAAGTGTGAAAATATTGCACGATTTTTCACACCCAATGCACAAAACCGGGCTCATTATATGCTCAGTATCGACACTCTGTGAGTCCATGCGAGATGTTTTGTGTTTGGATGCACCCATGTGCAGCCCCTGGGGTCGCGTTTAAAGAACAACCACAGAAAGGGAATCCCTCCAGGGCGCAGCAGGTGAATCCGCCTCTCAGCTCTCATACATGCATGTGAGGCTCCCTGCTCGTCTTCCTCCTCCTCCTCCTCTTTTAAAGATCGATTTGTTTCTGAGACACCTGTTAGTTCTCGCTGCGGAGGCAGTCTGACCTACCTTTGTCATGCAGCCGCAGGCTGAGGTCTGTCCGGTGCCGGTAGGCGTTCTCCAAATCCGCCCCGGTGGAGAAATCATCCAGTTTCACCTTTTTCACCAGGAAAGACCTTGGCATGGTGGTGACACGCCGACACACGCACACGCAACACGACGACACACACTCTCACAAACACAGCGACACACACACACTCAGCCGATCGCCGACGGCCTGGCCAGCGTGCTGATCCGGCCGTGACACACCGAGCAGACAGACGGACGGACCGGAGAACCGGAGGAAGAGGAGGAGGAGGAGGAAGAGGAGGATTGTCTTCAGGTTTTGGATGAAGCTGTGGTTTGATTCCTTTCCTCTGCTCCTCTGCGTGTCCTCTCGTCTGCCCGGGTTTTCTTTTTTTTTTTTTTTTTAGTCCTTTTTTGCGCACGGAGAGGAGGGAAGAAATGCAACTTCAGCACCGGACAGCTCCCTCCGGGGGGTCGGAGCCTCGTGCTCTGTGCGCTCACCGCTCAGGCGCGCAAAAAGAAATCAAAAAATAAAAATAAAAAGATGACAAAATAATTGAAACAAGAAAAACCCAGCAGAAGCGATGGAAGACACCCCGCTGCGCGCTCGGGCCTCTTTAAAAGAAGAGGAGATGGAGGAGGAAGAGGAGGAGGAGGAGGATGGAGGAGGAGGGAGGGAGGGATGCGAAGAAAATAAGAGGAGGAAAGAATTGGAAGCTTTTTGTTGTTGTTTTTTTTTTCCTCCCCAAAGAAAAAAAAAGAAAAAAGAAGAACAGCCGTCCCCGTTTTTGCAGCAGAAATAGTCCTGATTAATTCCCGGTTAGTGAGTTAGAAGAATCCCTGCGCTCGGATGGATCAGCAGCATCCCCTCTGTCTCTCTCTCTTCCCCTCGTCTCTCTCTTTCTGCGGCTTCAGCAGCGAGGTGTGCCCGTGAGTGTGCCGTCTCCCGATCAGCTGTTGGCATTTATACCGAGAGAGAGAGAGAGAGAGAGAGAG